AATTTAATTTAATTTAATTTAATTTAATTTAATTTAATTTAATTTAATTTTATTTAATTTTATTTAATTTTATTTAAATTAATTCCACATTTTTGACTGGTAGGCACTTAGTGTCTTGAGATATGAAACGAAAAAGAAAAAGTTAAAAGAGTGGGGGGATAAAACTGTATCTGTTTACATGTATCAAACCGATTCCCCCCTCTCACATTGTTATATATTGAAAGGGGGGATTTAAACATTGAAGACGTCTTCAATGCTCTCGTTGATTAACTCTGGTTAACCTGACACTGCTAGGGAAGTGGAGTTTGCGGTGTCTGGTTACTTGTCAAGGGAAACGGAGAGAGAGAGAGATGGAGGGACTGTGAGACAGGATGTCAGGAAATGACCGGAAGGAGAGTGGATGCTGTTCTCTCGTGAGATTTACGGCGCTCTTTTCTTGATATATTACCCAGCAAAAGTGAGAAATGCCATATATATATATATAATTTTAGTGCAAAGCCCAGCATTTTTTCTACTAGCAATCCATCTTAACCAGGTGTCAAATTTGCTAAAATAGCACTTTGTTGTTTATTTCCATTAAGTCATTATGTTCTGTGCAAATATGCCTTCTTTCTATGCAGGCGAGGCCGATTGCATATTGTGTCTATATTCTGTGCTGTTTCCCTGTAATTTCTTTGAAATGAATATGTTTTCTATTGATTACAGTAGCAGCTATTCATCGCATGATGGGAAAGATTGCTAAGAGCACTGATTATCCGGACGTGCCATGCAGTTAAACACATTTTGTCATCCTAAAGAGCAGATTCAGGTGTCTGCACTGGACTGGTGAAGTGATGCTGTACAATCCCTTGTAAAGTACCACACATCACAGTGCTCTGCTGCATCCTAGCCTTCAGAATGACCTGCAAGATGAGGAATTGTGTGTTCAGCAGATATTTGTGTGTGTTTGCTGCGTCACCTGAATTCCTTTAGTAAATCAAGTGAAAACACAATGCTATCAGTGGCTGAATTAATTCTTGGTGAATTCCTCCCTTGTTTTAATGTGATTTCCGAACAGAAGCCCGGCAGGATATCTGATAAGACGGACCCTGAATTGAACACTTTTGTTTCTCACAAAGGGAAAAGAGGGATATTCCCCTGCAAAGCCTTTTAAAGCGGCAGCTCCACACACACATGCGGTCCACCTTTACAGCGATCAGCTCCTCAATGCATGACTGATGTAGTGCGCAAAGTGAACATCTCATAAAACGTCACCTGCAGTCAGGCCTACATGTACCTGTAACATGTCAATATTTTACAACGCCAGCAAATGCCATTTCTGCAGTCATATATAACAACGGCTGAGATGCAAAGTATTCATTTGCACATTATTCATGGTGACAAAGGCTTGAAAACACGTCGTGGTGCTAAAGGAAAGTTGAAAAACCGTCAAAGCGGGTCAAAGCATTTATTTGGGTGCGAGTGTTCGCAGGGTTTGTGTTTCATTGATTGGGTGTTGTGTGCTCTGGCGAGAATAAAAATCAGATTGTGCTTTTCTCTCACCTGTGTGTGTGCATTTATGTGAAGCAGGGTGTGTGTGTGTGTGTGTGTGTGCATGAACAGCCCTGCTTTACCCTGAGCTGGTTTTCTGTGCTCTCGTTGATTAACTCTGGTTAACCTGACACTGCTAGGGAAGTGGAGTTTGCGGTGTCTGGTTACTTGTCAAGGGAAACGGAGAGAGAGAGAGATGGAGGGACTGTGAGACAGGATGTCAGGAAATGACCGGAAGGAGAGTGGATGCTGTTCTCTCGTGAGATTTACGGCGCTCTTTTCTTGATATATTACCCAGCAAAAGTGAGAAATGCCACTGAAAACTGTGGAGTCTCGCTCTCTTTGAAAACAGAAACTCTGTGTAAATGTTTGCTTCAGCTCGATGAAGTTGAAACCGAATATCAAGTGTGCCGTGAGCGATTAAGACAGAAATGGAATATCCACACAAGTAGCGTGAATCCATGCTAATAAATCTGTCTGTGGACTCATGTTAGACCTGAACTCCAGCACATTAACACTCAACGTTTAAACACATATAAAGATTTAAATCAAGACAAAATGTTACTGTATCCCACGATAAAAAGTAGAGTGTTTCATAGTAAATTCAAATTGTGGTCATTATTACAAAATTGCATTGATTCTTACAGTTGAATGTTTTTGCAAAAAGTTTATGCAAACTTTCCAGGTAGTAAAGCTTGTTAAAACTTAAACAAAAATACATCTTATTTTAACAACAGGCCATTATGTGTACATTAATCCTCAATTGTGTTTATTATGAACTCACAAATTACAGATTGAAAAGATAATATAGGCAAGAATGTGAATAAAACTGTGTGAACTGTGCTGTTATCAGTTGAAAAAAACTGCTGTTTTTAAATCAGATGGCTTTACTGATCACTTTTTTGATAATACTTCACTGGGAGC